CACATGCACGCACGCCCCCACGCCCCCACGCCCCCCCACACACACGCACACACGCACCCACGCACGCACCCACCCACATACACGCACCCACGCACGCACGCGCGCACCCACACACACACACACACGCACACACGCACACACACACACACATCGAAAAACGTCATGACCAACGAGAAGTCAGTATATCAGTCAAAGTATCTTTTTCCTTGTCCATCAATTGAAATAGAGCAAGTTTGGACTACACACACAAACACACACACACACACACACACACACACATCTCCACACCCACGCACCTGCCCACGCACATACATACACCCCCACCCCCAACACACACACACACACACCACCCAAGAAAAGAAGAAATGCATAGGCATAGTCAGTGTTTTAGTTTCCCTTCCATTTTTAGATGCTTTCAGCGTTTCCCCGCTCTCTGCTTGTGCACGAGCCCGCCACTAGAGTGCTATCGGGAGTAGCGGGTCTATACAGATACGGGAACTACGGTTTCAAGCGAGTGCAAGGGGCTGTCGAGCGAGTTTCGATGCTGCCAGCGCATACATAGAAACACATATGTATGGATACCTATGCATATATATGTACATATAGATATGTATACTTGCACACACACTGTCGTCGGGCTTTGATTCACCAGAGGCGGTCTAGCAGCTATGTACGCCGTGTAATGCGGGTCACAGCAGGTACGTGGGTACTACTGTTATATACTCCATTATACTGCCGTCTTTCCCCGAATGCAACGCACCTCCTTTTTACTCCATTATACTGCCGTCTTTCCCCGAATGCAACGCACCTCCTTTCTGAATGTGTATCTTTCCCGTCCGGTACAGCCGTAATGAGGGTGCGTTATGCTCGGGGGAAGCCAGTAGTGCCTGCAGTGGTTCTGCAAGGAAGGAGCCGTTCCTCAGTCAAGAGAGAGCGCCTTCGACTCGACTATACAGAGACCGAGCTCGCCCTACTGAGTTTGTCCTCGTCTGCTGCGTTAAGGCCAGCAACTATGCCGCAGGTCTCTGTCAGTCCTTGCTTGCCGGCCATTTATCCCCAGCGCTCTCTCTCTCTCTCTCTCTCTCTCTCTCTCTCTCTCTCTCTCTCTCTCTCTCTCTCTCTCTCTCTCTCTCTCTCTCTCTCT